ATAAAGAATCTTTAAGTGAAAAAATTCTTCTGCCAAAGTATCATGATATTTTAAAAAAAATTTAATAAAAAGATTTTTTTTACTTTGTTCTTTTTTGCAAATTGTTAATAATTGTGAGATAATTAATGAGATTAAAACAAAAATAAAATGAATAACGGAAAATATAACATAAAAAATAATAATAAGTAATATATTTTTTTCAGGTGTATATTTTGTTTTATTGTTTCACATTACATGATCGTAAGTGTAAATAGGAATTCTCGATGATGGGATTTTAAGAAATCTGAGCAGTGATTTTCAAAAATTTTTTAGGTGAGAAAAGTTTTTTAAAAATTATCAAAATATTGGAATATTTAAAAATTTTTTTTAATACGAAAATTTTCATATTTATTTTCAATTTGATTATTTTTTTATAATATAAAAATATACATTCTTTTGAAATAAATTATAGATAATTATGTTATTACGTGATTTTTAAATATTAAAACAAATGAAAAATCTTCGATGATGAGATTCAAAAGAAATCTGAGTAATAATTTTATAGGAATCTCTAGGTAAAAAATTTATCTAAAATATTGTCAATATATTAAAGTATTTAGATTAATTTTTAATAATGATTTTTTGTTTTTTTATAAATGGCATAGAAATGAATTTTTAAAAAATATTATTTGATTTTAAATTATAGATATTATACTTTGCATTTTTTAAATATAAATGTTGAAAATAAATATGAATCACCAAAAATAGAATTTTTAAGAATTTTGACTAGCGATTCTTAAAGATTCCTTAGATGAGATAGTCCATTTTAATATTACCAGAGTATTGAAATATTTTTTTGAGATTTTTTAATATGTAAGGTCCTTATTTATTTTTCAAACGTACTATTAATATAAATATGTTTTCAAAATAAAATTAAAGAAATTAAAATTTAAATACCAAAATTAAGATTATTTTATTAAAATTAAAAAATAACACATAATTAATTGGTACCGTTATTAACAGGTGCTATAAGGGTATTAATATTTTTCCATGCGTAACTCATTTCCGAACTCAAATTATTTTTTAGACTTAAAAATAATCTTTTTGATAAAGTTTTAATTAATTTTAAAATTTTTGTTAATATGATATATTTTAATAAGTGATCAATCACACTTAATTAAAAAAAATTTATGACGATTCTATTTATTTTTAAACTTCGTCTAGTTGTTCTCAAAATTCGTTATGACAACCAAAACTCAAGTGCTTTTATAGAACTTTAGGAGCTTGAGTATGTAATTCATAAAGATTAATTGTAAAAATGAACCGCATTTTGTTTTTGTTTCTCTTGAAACTCTCCTAGAACCAGCGTGAGTTTTCTCTCTAGGCTAAGCCTATTGCCTTTTGTGTAATGGTGGGAGTTATATGGCTTATGCTAAGGCAAACACATACAATGACAATGGGAGCCATGCTGCTCATGCAGTCATGTCTAATGTTGGGCAAGGTAATGGTTTATCTTATGTAGTTCCCAAGAAAAAATTGTGCTGCTACTTGGAACTGGTTAAGAAAGATGAGTTTCTTGAAGAATCTAAATAACCTTACTTTGTGTCTCCTCGTAATTCTTTATGTTTGCCCCATTGCTACTAAGTGCTACATGTGGTAAAGTAGAAGCTTGCAGCATTGTTGAGCCAATTCTCAACGTAATCAGAAGGTAATGTGTATTGACTATAAAGTAAGATGATATATATAGTGAATTCAAAAAACCATTGGTAAAAGATCGATGCTGAAGGATATGGTTATCCTGTTTCATGTTGTGCAGAAAAATATAGACATCAATTTCACTGAAACTGAATGTATCAAAATAGATCCAGAAAATAAAAATGTTTACTGTTGGGCTACAATAAAAATGACAATTCAAAAGGGAAGACGAGTTTGTAGTAGACTTCGACTGCCTTATTGTAGCCTATTCTAAGAAAGTGCATTCTTTTAGAAAAACGAAAGGAAACAAAACAGAAGACTAAGAGAGAGATTAAGTTAAGGATGAAGTGGCTGTTCTCCTGTTTACATGTAAAAAATTACCTATTTTAATAAATAAGAATAAAAGTAGTCTTATTAGGGAATTAAGATTTCTTAATACCTTAGTTTGGGAAAAAGCTCCCACATTAAGGTCTCTGTGTAATGGCTAGCTGTTGCAATTGAAATCCATGACTAATCATTGGAAAACATTAATAAGTACCTAAGTTTTTCCAAGCACCGGCTGAGGATATCTCACAGCATTTTTGTTTAATCTTCAAACACAGCATAATAATTACGATAACATAAAATTTTGGTGGTTATCTTATTTTTAACAAATTATTTTTATTGAATGAATTAAAAATTATATATAATATTATGTTAAAATATATAAAAAAATTGATAAGATTTATTTATGTAAATGCTTAAGGAAATGATTTTTCTTTCTAACGCTTTAAAAAATCCTTAAAATTTCTCTTTGTAATAACATGTAAAATAATTTTTAATTTTAATATATTTTTCAAAAAATATATAATAATAATAATAATAATAATAATATGTGCAAATGATATAATTATATAAATTATAAAATAAAAAATTTAATATCTTTTATTTTATTTGAAAATGTTAGCATTTCCTTAATTTTTTTTCATTAACCACACACGTAGTAATCTCACAAAAATTATTCTCTTTTAAATTGAAATAAAAAATGATTGCAATACTTCGTTCAAGAAAAATCCATACTAAATTTCTATTATAGATATTACAGCCATTTTTATGTATCGTTTTTTTCCAATGGGAAACAGAACAAAGCTTCTGCTCTTTCTTCAATATTTTCTTATCCGTTTATTTCCTCTCTTTTGAGACCTATCTCTCCATTGAAATGAAAACCATTTGTCCAGGCCAATCACTCTCTGGTAATCAAAACTATTTTCTCAAAATATTTAATCACTAAATTCCATGAATATATTCTACTATTGCAGTTTTTGAGAACAGTGAAAGCCTTGTTTTTGAGAAATAATTCAAACCCTTTAATAATAGTAGCTCGACGTTTTGATCATCCTACAGATACTTGGTTGCCTGGTGCCAAGCTTGAAACTGCCAAAATGACCAGGAAAAGGCAAATTATTGATCACATACAAACAATCTCATTTATTGAATAAAACTATTTCTCCCTATTTTTCATTTGTCTTGTTCCCTGTCTATTTCTTTTTTCAGTTAATCATGACAATAATGTAGCTCTTATAGCCTTTTTTTGTTTTCGTATTTTCCACTGTTGATGGAGACATTTTTTGGTGGAGGTCACTTTCGGTGCGGGACTATTTCACCTACCAAACAAGGGTTAGCTGGATCCCATGACAAATTGGACCGTTGTTGACTAGCCACAGTGATTTTCCTAGAAATGAAGAGTAAGACCTGCAACCATCACCGGTCTAGTAACTCAAACAGCTCAAGCAGAATTACTAAAAATTGTTCTTGTTTCTATTGTTCCTCGGAGTTTCTTATCTACTTTCCTCAAAGGAAACATTTCTGCTGGTGGTGGAAAGAGACCGATCAGTCCTCACGGCTTTGTTCGATCTTGATTTTTAATTTTAAAGGGATCAAAATAATATTTTATAATAATTTTATAAAAAATATATCATATTTATTAATAATTAAAAATAAATGTAAATATATAATAATAAAATTTACAATTATAAATATATTAATATGTAAATGTATAAAATAAAATAAATATATTAAACAGTTAATTTCATAAATTTTAATTATAAATCACTAATAATAATTTTTATAAAAATAAAATTATTATATATTTTTTACAATATTAATATATTATTTTATCATATTTAATATTAAAATTATTAAAATAAAAAACTATAAAAATATATTTTAAATAAATAAAATTTTAAAACAATAAACTAAATACTTTGATTTGATAAATTAAAACATTCAAATTTTTTACATTATATATTTTTTTGCAGTCAATTATTGAATAATATTATTTTTCCCTTTTTTTCATTTGTTTTTGAGCCTTTTTGTTTGTCCTTGCAGTCCATCACATCAAGCATCTACCGATATTTCGTATTTATACGACAATAATGCAGCTCCTATACCCTTTTTTTTATTTTTCAAATTCTCCACTGTCGGTGGAGACGTCATTTGGAGAGGTAACTTTCGGTGCTCTACTAATTATCACACCCCCTAAACAGGGGCTAGCTGGATCCCACGACAAAGTGGACCGCTGTTGACTAGCTACAGTATTTTTTAAAGATTTTATTTGAATGAAAGGCAAAATTAATCGTAATAAAATTAAAAATAATAATAATTATTATTATAATTACATTTAAAAATTTTATGGTAATTATAATTAAAAAATTTTAATAAACAATTTATATTAATTTAAGTTTATTAAAATTAATATTTAAATTTTACTTATGAAAATTGAATCTTATGTCACCGAAAATGCGTAAAATACAAACGAGGACTTAAAAGGCATAAGACCCATTGCCACAACCGGTTTACTAACTCAACTCAAAACAGCTAAAGCAGAAATACTAAAAATTGTTCTTGTTTCTATTGTTCCCTGGAGTTTCTTATCTACTTTCCTCGAAGGAGAATTTTCTGGTTTCCTTTCTTATTTGGGTCTCCAGAAGTAGCCCCAGCAGTCCTCACAGCTTGATTCCAAAGTGATCAGGTAAGCTTCAAGAATTGCTCCTACTTAAATTGTCTTAATTATATGCCCCTTTCTGTGTTGCCATTTTTCTTAACTACTTTAATTTTTAGTAGAGTCCGAGTGATTTTGTTTTACAACTCCAAAAGGGAAAAAAAGAATATTTGCTTATTAATTTCATTTTCTTCATTTTAATTTTAGCCAAAAAAAAAAGAAAAGAACGTTTTTGCCTTAAATTTCAGTCTTGATTTTCAATCTAATATATAATAGTCTGAATTCAAAAATTGAAAGATAAAAAATAATAATTTGTGTAAATGATATATTCATATAATTTTCAAATTAAAATTTTAGTATCTTTTGCTTATTTATTTATTTTTTTTAAATGTTAGCATTACCTTAATATTTTTTTCACTATCCAAGAGTAATCTCACAAAGATTATTCTCTTTTAAATTGAAAGACAAAATGATTGCCATACTTTATTCAAGGAAAATCCATACTAAATTTTTATTCTAGATATTGCAGCAAATTTTGTGTATTTTTTTTCTACAATGAGAAACAGAAGAAAGCTTCTGCTCCTTCTTCAATATTTTCTGATCCTTTACTTCCTCTCTTTTGAGACCTATCTCTCCAATGAAATGAAAACCATTTGTCCAGGCCAATAAATCACTGTCTGGTAATCAAACTATTGCCTCAAAATATGGAAGGTTTGATCATTGAACTCGATGAATATATTCCACTGTTGCGGTTCTTGAGAACAGTGGAAACCTTGTTTTGAGAAATAATTCAAACCCTTAAGTCATAGTAGCTCGAATCTTTGATCACCTAACAGATACTTGGTTGTCTGGTGCCAAGCTCGGAATAGACAATATGGCCAAGAGAAGGCAAATTATTGATTAAATACAAACAAAACTCAATTATTGAATAATACTATTTCTCTCTCTTTTGCTTTTAGTAAAGCTTTTTTTTATTTCTCTTTTCAGTCCATCACATCAAGCATCTACTAATATTTAGTATTTATACAAGAATAATACAGCTTCTATAACATTTTTTGTTTTTCTTATTCTCCTCCGGTCACCATTTTTGGAAACAATATTTGGTGGAAAGCACTTTAAAGTGCTCCAGTAATTATTTCAGCTTTTTAACAGGGCCCCATGACAAACTGGCCCTTTGTTGACTAGCCACGGTGGTTTTCCTAGAAAGCATAAGACCCATCACCACCATCGGTCTACTAGCTCAAACAGCTCAAGCAGAATACTGAAATTTGTTCTTGTTTCTATTGTGCCCTGGAGTTTCTTTTCTACTTTCCTCAGAGGAAAATTTTTTGGTTTCCTTTCTTATTTGGATCTCTAGAAGTGCTGGAAAGAGCCCCAGTGGTCCTCGCAGCTTTATTAATTCCAAAGTGATCAGGTAAGCTTCAAAAACTGCTGTACTTAAATTGTCTTAATTATATGCCTGTTTCTGTGCTGCCATATCTCTTAGCAACTTTAATTTTTAGTAGAGTCCGAGTAATGAATCTGTATTTATACTTTTTTTCTTATGGTATAAGATTAGTTCAATAAATAATGCATAATTAAACTGTGATTTTTTAAGTGTTTCCACATTCAAGTGTTTTTTTTCTTCAATTTCTAATTTGCATTAACAGTTTCCAGTACAAGCAACTTCTGCTCCCCTTTTCTAATTTTCTTTTATAACTTCAAAAGCAAAAAAATATTTGCTTATTAATTTCATTTTCTTCATTTTAATTTTATCCAAAAATTTTTTTTATTAAATTTCATTCTTCTTTTTCAATTTAATATATATATATATATATATATATATATAAATATATAAAGCTAGAAGAAGCTGCCAGTCGATTTTCTTTTCATAATTTCTAGCTTCTTTTTCTCAAAAAAATTAACCAAAAAAAAGCCATGCTCTTCAATTTTCTTTTACTAGTTGGTTAAAGAATTTCTATTTTCCATTTCCCTGTAAACTAAAAAAGAAAACTGCTCTTCAGTTTCCTTTTCTTAATTTAATTTATATTTTCTTAAGTACTTTTACCTGAAAAAAAAATTAGCTCTTTATTTTGTTAACCATAGAACTTGTTTTAGGTGTAAATCTCTTGAAGTGGTAGAGACAGAGTACAGAGGAGAGCCCTTGCAATTGCAACACTGAATCCACAAACTTTAAAAGACTGCCAATTCAGGTAATTATATGCTTCAGCAATATTAACTGCTTCAATGAATTGCACCTTGACTTTACTGCATTTATTTATGTTTAATAAAAGAAAAGAAAAATGGAAAAACAAACTTCTAATGTTCCATTATTCAAACAAATTTTGCCAGTATTTAGTTACTACTTTTTTTGTTTAAATATAAGAAGGACCACAAATTAAAATTAAATAATAATTCAAGTTTTTATCATTTTATTACAATCAATTGAACTGTCAAACATTTATTTTCATTCAATTGAACTCTTAAATGTTTATTTTCACTCAATTGAGCCCTTGATTTGATGATAGTGGTTAACCAATTTTCGTCCAAAAATGGCTCAACTGAGTAAAAATAAATGTTCAAGGGTTCAATTGATTTCAATAAAGCAATAAGGGTTTGAATGATTATTTAATTTTAGTTCAAGAGTTTTTTTTTTTATACCAAAACCTTTTTTCCTAATTTTTTTCAATTATTTCAACATTACATACCAACATATTAATTTATATCATTATTAAATGGATATATGTAAATTATATAAATCAAAGTCTTCTACACTCGTTACAATTGACCACAGTCTTAGAGTGCCTTTAATTAAATTTACAGATGACAGAAAGAAAGAGGAGCAAAAAGAGTTGAAGCACAAAAGTGGGATTCTTCTCTATAAGCTCCTGGAGTTTTCGATAATTGAAAGTGCTACATTGATTTCTCCATTTCTCTCATTAATTATTTCCATCGGTCGAATTGGTGTAGAAGGGATTCCCAGCAGTTCAGCAGCTCCACATCCTCACATCTTGATTTACTTCAAGTGATAAGGTAATTTTCATGAATTATGCTCTAGTTTTAGTAAATTTTATTAGGAAAAGTATAAGTTTGTGGACAGGGATTGGAACATAATTTTATGTCTTTTTGATTATGGGACATGGTTCCTAATTCATCCATTTATTTTAGAACTTCAGTTTATAAACTTGATACGTTGATCAATCTACTCTAGAATTAATCATCAATATGGCAATTTTGATGCAGGGACATTAAAGCTAATACAATGTCTGACCTTGTCGGGCCAATCCTTGAAGTTATAAAGTTCATCGGCCGTCCAGCTAAAATATATCTTAATTACCACAGAAAATTCAACAAATATGTGGATGATTTCAGACAAGCTCAAGCAGATTTGCAAGCTAGGGAGGCAGATATTCAACAGCAATTGCAAGATGAGCATCATTTTGGGAAAGAGTCAAAGCAGGAAGTTGGAAGTTGGTTCAGAAAAGTAGAGGAGAAGATTGGTTATGCTCAACGTGTTGGTGATAAAATCAGTCAAGGGAAATATCTCTTTCGTTCTTGCTTAGGGAAGCTTGTTGATGAAGCGACTCAAGCAATGAAGGAAGTACATGCTGAAGGTCAATTCTCTAATGGCTTGGTGGTTAATGATTCTTCAACTACAAAGGTCAAACTGCCAACAGAAGAGTTAGCAGGCACTACTAAAGCAGAAGAAATTTATCAATACTTGATGGGAGATGAAGTTAGAAAGATTGGAGTGTGTGGGATGGGAGGGATAGGTAAAACAACAACAATGAAGCATGTCTATAATAAATTGGTGGAAGGAACCAAATTTAGCAAAGTAATTTGGACAGTTGTATCCCAGGACTTTGATATTCGAAGGTTACAAAAGAAAATTGCATGTCAATTGAAGGAAGAGTTGTCAGATGACGAAGATACAACCATACGTGCAGCAAAGTTATCAGAAATGTTGAGGAAACAAGGGAGGTATGTGCTAATATTGGATGATGTGTGGGGCAGCTTTTCTCTTGAGGAAGTCGGGATCCCTGAGCTAAAAGCAGATAATGGATGCAAATTAGTGTTAACAACACGTACAGAAGAGGTTGTTCGATCAATGGGTTGTAAGAAAGTCCAAGTGCCCTGTCTTTCTACAGATGAGGCGTGGCGGCTATTTTTAAGCAAAGTTGGACAAGACATGTTGCCCAGTCCAACTTTAGAAACAATTATGAAAGATATTGTGGGAGAATGTGGTGGACTTCCTCTTGCAATCGTCACAGTAGCTGGTTGTATGAGGGGAATATCCGATCCTCTTCTCTGGGAAAATGCTTTGAATGAGCTGAGAGGTTGCATCGTCAGCATCCAGGGTGTGCAAGAAAAAGTGTTTGGATGTTTAAAATTCAGCTATGATCATCTAAGACAAATAGACCGAGATTGTTTTCTGTGTTGTGCATTATATCCTGAAGATTATGAAATTAAAAAAGAGGAAATCATTGAATACTGGATGGAAGAAGGACTTATAGCTGAAATGGGAACTAGAAAAGCAATGGAAGGTTGTGGTCTTTCTATTTTGCAGAAGCTCGCAGAGAATTGTTTGCTAGAATGGGTTTGGGAAGGTACACATATAAAGATGCATGATGTTGTTAGAGATATGGCGTTGCATATCACAAGAAAAAGATTTTTGGTAAAAGCTGGTAAGCAGTTGGAAGAGCTACCAAATGAGGAAGAATGGACTGAAGATTTGGAGAAGGTTTCTTTAATGGACAATTCCATATCAACAATTCCTCCAAATATGAAGTCTCCAAAATGTCAAAAGCTCACAACCTTGTTACTCTCAGCAAATTCATTGGAACAAATTCCAGAATCTTTCTTCGCCTACATTCCTAATCTAAAGATTCTTGATCTTTCTAATAATCCTCTTGTGAATTTGCCGAACTCTATCTCTAATCTGGAGAATCTCAATGCATTGATGCTGCATCGTTGTGGCAGTTTAGAAATTTTGCCATCTTTATCGAAGCTTCTAGCTTTGAAGAAATTGGACCTTGGAGAAACTTCAATCAAGGAAATCCCTCAAGGTTTGGAAATGTTGGTAAATCTTAGATATCTCAATCTTCAATATACTATGGAAGAGATCCCCAATCGATTATTGCCGAAATTGTGTCGTCTTCAGTATTTGGCAATAGATACAGCATCGAAACTAGCGAAAGAGATAAGTGAGTTGAACAAGTTGGAAGTTTTTGAAGGTTGGTTTAGTAACTTGGGTGACTGGAACACGTATGCTAGTCAGAGAAAAAGGCTTCATAAATACAACATTTCGGTGGGTTACTGGCATTTTCCAGCAAGTAATTATAGTAAAATTGTTGCATTTGGGGGTTGTGATATTAATTCTGGAGAGGGAATTATACTTCCATATGATATTCAGCAATTAGAATTTTCGGATTGCGAAGGTATGAGAAGTTTAAACGATATTTGTGAATTGAAAAATGCAACTGATTTGAAGGAATGTAGAATTGCGCAATGTGAGGAGTTGGAGTCCATTTTTTCATCGGGGTGTCAACGTCAAACAGTTGAGTCTCTAGATCTAAGTCATTTAGAGAATTTGAAGGTTTTAGTCGAAGGGTCATCAGTAGGCACATTTTCCTCCCTCAAAAAAATCCATCTATTCAGTTGTGGAAAAATAAAGAATTTGTTCTCAGCTAAGTTGGTTCTCCACAACTTGGAATAGATCACTGTTGCATATTGTGGCAAAATGGAGGAAATAATAGTATCAGAGGAAGAAGGAATGGGTACCATCAAATATACACTTCCCAAATTAAGGGAATTGAGATTGGAGCACTTACCAGAATTGAAGAGCATTTGTAGTAAAAATGGAGTAATGGTTTGTGATTCTCTCCAACGCATTGATATACGGGTTTGTCCAAAGCTAAAGCGGATTCCTCTGTATCTTCCCCTGCTTGACAACCTTGATGAGGAAAAACCATCTCCTCCTCCTCCTCTCAAGGAAATCAGCGTGCATCCAAAAGAATGGTGGGAATCATTGGAGTGGGACCATCCCCATGCAAAGACTGTTCTTCTGCCCTTCCTCGAGTTCTTGGATCGCCGCAACTACGAATGGCAGCAAGTTGTTTGATAAAGCGTGAGTCTTTTTTATTATTATTATAATACAATTGCTCCATTTCTAGTTTCATCTTTTTTTATTTCATTTTTTTCGGTGTTAATAAATAATAAAATACAAGTATTACCGGACTTATGTAATTTATCTATTTTGGTAGATACATACAATACAATGGGGAAGAAGGTTGCAGGCCCTATTGCTGAAGTTGAATCACAATCCAAACGTCTTTTGCTTTCTGATTCTCATGCTCTTTTCTTCATAATGTAATCATAAACCTTGATTTAGTTGTTTCTTTTTCTTTTTCCTTTTCTTAGCTCTTTCATTCCATTTGTGTGTATAAGGGTTAATGTGTATGATAAATTTTTATGTTTATATTTGCCTTTGTATAAAATTTCCATGGTTTAATAAAACGATGGCTTTGAAAATTAGTGAAATTATGATATTTCTTATATTATATATAGAATTTATTTCAAGTAATATTAAAAAAGTAGTGTTGATCTTTTCCACTAACAGAGACGAATTCGTTGGTCTTGACAATTGTCTCCTTTTTTGTAAACGTTGTTCAGTTTACTTGTATATCTCTATTATATTAAACTAACGTGTCAAAATTTCTTGAATCTTTTTTTTTTTTTCAACATCAAATTCTAGGATGCTCACAAAATTTTCGGTTCAGACTTATAACCCAACCTATATTCCTCATAGTTTATAGTTATTAAAATGTGTAGTGGTAAGTTTGCTACCAGTAAATTTTATTAAAAAAATATTTTTATAAATATGATATTAAATTAAAAATATTGAATTAATTTTGGATCCAATCCAATCAAATACTAGTTATATATTTATATATTAGGGTCGGTATCAAAAATAAAAATTAACTGATTATTCAATAATATAATAATTGGTTATATAGATGTAATAATTAATTATGAAAAAAATTTAAGAAAAAACTAATAAATAATTACAAGTTATTCTCCATAAAAAGAAAATGTAAAAATTTTTTGCAAGGGTTAGACATACTAACTTGTGGATAATCTCTCATATTTGAAATGAAAAAGAAGAAAAACATACAAAAATGATAAAACACATCCCTCATCTCATTTGATGGTATCTTTTATTAGAAATAATGACACAAATCTCATAGGAGATCTGTTTGTAATTTGTTAGAGATTTTTTTGAGATTGGTCAGATATTACTTGATAGACAATAAGACTTGCCAAAGAAGAATTCTAAGGGAAAGAGGATTCTTAATAAGCAAGTTTGACTTACAAGAGAAGAATTTTAAGAGGAAAGTGATTTTTAATAGGCAAGTTTGTATGGTTATAAATATGTGAAGTCTCTACAGGGTTAAGTATGAGAAAAAGATGTAAGAGAGTTGGAGGGTTTCGTGGGATGGACACTTCATATGAGTATTGGGACTCTATATTTTATGGGTGTGTATGTTTGTTTGTGAGTAGACTAGAAAAGACTGAGAGGCTCCACATAAGTATGATGTATGGGTGTAAATGGGTATGTGTTTAGTTGTGTTGAAAGGGTGCACATAGGTATATGTTTATTTGGGTTGAGAATACTCCACATAGGATTAGAGAAGATTGAAAGGATCTATGGGTATTGATTATTGAGTGATTGATTTGATGTATGTTTGTAATTCCCTACAACTAGTGGATCTTATTTTTTATTTGTGGACGTAGGTCGGTTGAACTGAAACACATTAAATTATTGTCTTTTGTGTGTTTGATTGATTATTTGATTTTGTTTCTGCTGACATTATTAGATTCGAAGCTTTTTGCCCAACATCTTTGACATTCAATGACCTTTTTTATCTAACTCATTATCTTCAACCAAAATGGTTGATGACTTCAATTTCCAAACTCAAATTTTGAAAATTGATAATTCTCTTTTCACATATAAAAATTTCTATTACAATATGCTGAGTTTAATTTCGTTCTATTACTATTAAGGTATATAGGATTTATAATTTATTAGGTCTCAATATATTAAAAATGTTGATGTAACATGTTAAAAGTAAGTGATGTATTAATAATGATAGTTATTGTATTAAAAAGAAATGGAAAAAGGATCTCGACATGTTCCAATTAGGCTCTTTCACGCTAAATCAAAAAATTAGTGTTACAACCGGATTTAATTTCATCCTATTACTTTTGAATACATTTTTTAACTGTAATACCAAACCTAAAAATGGCCCAATACATATTAAATTGAACATGTCGTTATTAGCTTTATGGAGTTTTTATTAGAATAAAAAAAAAAGAGAGAAAATATAGAAAATTTATCGATAGGTTTTTATTTTTCATAGTTTTTTTGACAATAAAACAAAACAATTTGGAAAATTGAGGAAGCCCTAGAGAAGGAGAAGAGAGGCTGGAATTTGAGATTTCATTCTCTCAATTGATGGATTATGGTAAGATTAGTCTTCTAATCTTTTTAATTTTCGTGTTTGTGAGAAATACTAAAGCATTAATTTGAGGTTTTTAATTTTTTTTTAAATTTTTTGACAACCTTCCAGTTATCTTTCAGGGGCATATTTGGTATTAACTGAAAGAGTTCTTAAAGACCTTTATTATGGTTTTTGTAGCATCTAATTTGGTTTTCTATTTTAGATTTTATGAATTTTTTAATTTATGAAAAAATAGATATTTGACAGTTTTTATGATTCGAATTTGGGTCATCGAAACTCCACATTCCGGTAACCTTTTTGATCTATTATTTGACGGTTTTGTAGTATGAAACATGATCTTCCTAGTGGTGTATTTGGTTTGGTCAAATGACTTATACACTAAGAGAAATTAAATCTCAAAGTTAACTTCATGAATTTAAAAATGCAAAAAAACTAAGTTATTTGTGATGATTTTCAAAATTTTTGCCTCTAAAAATTAAGTTTCTAAAAATAATTTTTATCAAAACAAAATTTTACATTATAGAAATTGTTGCTTTCTATTGTCACTAGAAACCACAATACATTAGAGATTTTATGACTCAAAATAAATTAAATGATCACAAAATACTAAAATTTTAGAATTTATAATATTAGGTTTTTAATTATTTTAAAAATTAATTTTCTCAATAATAGCACTAAAATATTATAAACAATAAAAAGTTTGATTATTTGAATTTTATTTAATTTTTGGTTGAATAAATATTTTCTTGGATAAATTATCTTCGAAATGGTGTTACTTCAAAATTTTTTATTTCTTTAAGAAATATCTAGAAAACTAAATCATCATCCATATTAAGATTATTTTCATAAAAAATTTATTTTTATTATTGAATCTATGTTTTAAGGATAGTTTGAATTGAGAAAAAGAATGATATATAGAATTTGCTATGTACAAATTATATTTTGAGAAATAATATGAATATTGAATTTGAATATGTTAAGTAATTTCAAAATATGTTTTGATTTTGTCTCTTAATATGGTTATATTCTGATCCTGTCAATAGAGGTAAATTATTAAATCATTGACCATGTCAACTTGTATTTTGTGATAGAAACCGGTTTTACATCATACCTTCAATTGAAAATTGTGATTTTTGTTTACTGTGCTACTAGTGATATATTCCTATATCATTACACTAAAGAAGAAATTGTGATTTTTATTGTTTTGGTCAATGCAACCATTAGATTACTTCTGATATACTTTTGTCCCATTGAATTAATGGAAAAATTGTGATATTTATTTTGTTCAATTTAACCATCTGGTTGCTTTTCATATATTTTTGTCTCATTGCACTGAAAAGTAGTATATTACGAGAGACCAATAAAACTTATAATTTTATAATATTTTGTTTTGCTTTATTATTTAAGAATCTGGTTTGGTTTTGATAATATGATTTGTATAAATATGTTTATGAATATAAGATTATCCTATTCTATTTTCAAATTATATAATTAATGTTTTGATCTAAATATTTTATAGCATGCTTAATCCAACTAAAGAGATGATTAATTGCTTAGTCTTTGTATTCATTCTTTTAATTTTTTTATTTTTTAGATTTCGATAATTATATTTTAGGAGAATTAGTTTTGACGAGAGCACTAACAACAAGTTTAGCATCTATCCTTTGTTTGATATAATCTTTGAACTGAGTATTTTGATGTCGATTTAAAAGATTTGTTAGAAGGTAAAATATTTTGTATCCTTTAATCAAGTTGTATCATATATAATTTTGAAGACTTGAAATTTTGTAGACCATAAATTTTGAAGATTTTTAGAGATACTAATTTTGACTTAATATGATTTTTTTTTTTACATATTTGTGAAATTTATCTCATAAATATATCATGCTGTTACATTTTAAAATTTTGAATTTAGAGCATGACATTAATCAGTATTCAATATATAAAATTCATATACTATAATTAGGTTTAACGTACATAAAAAATTTGGAAAGTAATTAAAGCATTCAACCCGTAAAATACGTAATAATAATGAAGATTATATAATTAAAAAAAGTAATGAAAAGGGCCTCCACATCTTTTCATTAATACAAATGTTAGCTGTCTCATCTGACCCTCTTTCTGGTGAATCAATCAAAGCCCAAATCTCCAACCATGTTTAAAACGCTTTGAAACAAAAACCAAATAGTAACCAAATATGGAGTTTAGTGGAAGACTTGCTGCCTTGAAAATGGGCAAATTAAACCAAATTTCTATACAAAAACCTGGCCCCATCAAGAACCATT